ATGAGATTTAAGCTATTTAGACTAAACATTTGTGTTTTCATGTTATAATTTCCAGTCATTCTAAAATGCAAAAAGCATAATATATAATTATTGCCTAATTTTTATGATGGTTACAAGGTAGATTAAATTGACCCAACTTATACAGAAATACAGTAGTTAAAAAAAACAGATAAAATATAAAAGTTTTTCTAAAAAAAAATGTTTGATAACTATCTGGAGGTTATAAAGATTTCACATGTGAAATTTAAAAATTTTCAGATGCATAAAAGTATTTTTAATCTTAAAAACAAAATTACTTTGCATGTTAGATAGTCAACATTCCAAAAAAAAAAGCGAGAAAAAACATTACTTAAGAAATCTTTAAAATTGATAAAAAAAATCCAATATTTTCCGTACAAAAGCATCGTAATGTTTCCTGATAATATGCACAATTTTATGAAGATATGCTTACTAATTTAAAAGTTATAGCATAAAAACTATAACACGCATAGAATGGTTACAAGGTTGTTCCCTGGGGCTAATCCTGTGCTGAAAAAGTTAATATAACATTAATTATTGTTTTTTTAATTATCTACATTTAGTTAAAACTTCTATACTGACCTAACGATGTTTCTGCTTAGCATTGTCCAATTGTTTAAGAACTGGATTATTATGTAAATTCTGTTTGTACAATAAGAGAGTCCTGTTTCCAGGTGCACGCACACCTCCATTTAAGAAGTGATTTGTCTGGTGTGTCTTAATCAAATACATAGAGGTAATACCTATTTTATTTACTTAAAATTAACCACAAACCACTGTGTGCGTTATTCTAAATATTATCTTCCTAACCTACATGTGTTGATATTGTGATGCTGGTATTGTATGATGTGGCTTGTCTAGTAATCTATTTACATGCAAAAAATACTTATTGCCTAATTTGTGTGTTTGTTTTATGCATGGAAAAAATAAAACTCTCAAAGCTTTTCCAAACTGCCTGAAAAAAGAGAGAGAGAGAGAAAATGCAAGCCAAAGGCATCCAGCAAAAAAAATTAAAAACAGAATCATAACAAAGGTATCATGCATTCATGCTTAAAAACTGATAGCTTATCTTAAGAGTGCTGCATGCGTAATAAATTCTGTTTTAAATTAGCTTTTTTCCCCCTATTTTTTAAATATTATACACATAGAACTGAATGAAGGAAATCATTAGTAGTTACAAATGTTGATAACACCATAATACAAGTTGAAGATGTAGCTCGTGGGTTGAATTTAGATCTTCAGGTGTAGTCTGCTCCAATAATAGTAATATACACACACACATACATGCTGCTCACCCCAGTTTTAAGGCTTGTCCTGGTGTCTTGAAATCATCATCACCTAACAAGGCTGCACTTTCATCATATCCTTGAGCAGGAAGGTAAGTTAGTTCAGGATGGTGTTCCACCTAATAGACAGAGTACGTGTCCAGTAAAATTCAGACGCTTCCTACAAATCTGTTCTTTACTGATCGTAAAAGATTTTAATATATTTTACTGAAAAACAGTGAACACGATAAAAATAGCAGATAAGAGAGAAATACAAGACCAGCATGCAATAAAGGCAGTTTATCAGAGCTTTGTGAAGTATAAACATACAGTAAAGTCCAGACAAAGCTAAAAAAAAAAAAAGAATATATACTTAGAATTAACTCTTTAAACCCATAATTTTTTGCCCATTCTGCCGGAATGGTTTCCTAATAATTATCACTGTACCATACAAATCTTCAATTTTCTAAATTTTGTGGACAATAACATGGCTTGGAGTAGTTTTCAGCCAAAGAGGCATAAATGTTATCATTCGCTGACACTGTCTGATGAGGAAAATCAGGATTTTCAGCCAGATGCTAGCAGCATCTGCTCGGGTTTGATTACAGATACTAATTCCATGATTTAAGGGAAGAGATGTGACCATACCCCACTGCATCATTCCGCCTATCTAAAGGATACTGTCCAAGATGCATTTGACAAAAAAAGGTTAAGTCTACAGATGTAATCACTATTTGATAATTATTTGTTTTCATATGAATGACCTCCATCCAAATTGTGGGTACATGAAGTAAAAATAAGTTTAACTTGTATGTGAAACAAGGAATTTTTTCTGCATTATGTGCTCTTCATATAACTTTATATTAAGCTGTACTGTACACACAGTAATTTAATGGTTCCTATAGTCTTTAAATCTTCTAAGTTTAGAAATAATGATGAAACAAGATAAGAGTACTGATACATACATTTTACCATACACCTACTTCAATATTACACCAAGGACACATGTACCATTACTGTATTTCAATATCAATTTTAAAATACACTGACAAGTTGCTATACATCAGATATTATCCAATAAAATTAAATCTGTTTTAGTAATAATGCGTCCTCTTTTTATCAACTAAATACTAATTAACAAGCTGAAGAATTTAAAACTAAACAAAAATGTCAATTACTACCAAATGAGATCCAGTTTTTTTATACCTGTAATTTTACTACAATACACAAATACTGTTGTGGTAAAACAGCTAATTTTAGACTGTAAAACTTGCAATACAAAGTACAGTTACACACAAATAATAAAACTTTTTGTATACTAGCAGGCATTTTTGGCAATTGTAGATAGATGGGTTAACTCTGTTTGGCAAAACCAATACAATCATGCTAAAAAAAATTGTCATCAGTACAATATTTGTTTGGTGTGTTGTCAATACATATGGTGCACTATTTATTGTGTGTGTGTGTGTGTTTTCTTAAGTTTTAATTTTAAAAGGGGGGAACTTGAACTCTGACCTTTCAACCCAAAACAAGTAGGGTTCTTCCCAACCCCCAAAGGAAGTAATCTAAAAAGTTTGATTAAAATCTACAGTTGAGAACTCTAGTTATCATGCAGAAAATAAATTTCTACAGGCATACAACATAATCACTATATCCGTCTCGAACCTTTTCTATCAGTGGCACAAAAAGAAGAGTTCATCATTAGCATAGAATCAAGCTAGGTGTACCTATTCCTAAAAACAGATAATGTTAGCTTCAATAAGGAGGACTGTGACCTACAAGATAAAAGACAGGCAATATGATATACCTAACCATTGTATGAAACATGTAAACCCCTGTATCAAAGTACACAAACAGTTCCATTTTTAGAAGTGATTTCTCTGGTTTCTCTTAGTCAAATATATTTATACATATCGTGGGCAGTTTAGTTATAATACAGATAAAAGCACTTCAGTGATTATGTACAAATATTACTGTATGGGTAACAGATAACAAAAACTGAGCTACTGAAATCTGCATTTCAGTTGTATACCACACACACAAAAAAGATAAAGATACAAGGTACCAAACATTGAAAATAAATACTGTTTTTATGACAGCGGAAATCACGTGATGCTGCTAGCGCATGCGTGAATGAGTTTCTTGAATTATCAGAGCAGCTCGAGTGTGATCAAGACTCCTCTTTGTTAGTATATAAGCCTGGCGAGAAAAGCCAGCGCGATTGAATGTATGATAAAGCGAACAGTAGTCACGGTGAGTTTCAGGCTAGTGTGTGTTTTGTAATCGTCGAGAACGAGTTATCGAGACCATGAATTGCTGTGATTTATAGCGTGTATTATAAAAGTTGTTAAGTTTAAAGTGACGAGAAACATACTGACTGTGGAATTACTGTGTACTAAAAGTTTGTATTGAGAAAGAATAAACTGGTTTAATCAAGAAAGGACTTGCATTGCTGAAGTTCCTGGGAAAGAATTTCTACCAGAAATTAACAAACAAGCAGATACGCAACACTATGATACAAAAAATATATATATATTTTAAGTGGCAGATGAGTTCTCATAGAGAAGAGGAGGTTTGTTGTACCTATTTACAGTTATCAGTTCCACCTTTCTTGCTAAAATTCATAAAGATTCAGCTAAATATTAAGTGAAAAACCATTACAATTCTTATTGTGATAATCTATTACAATTTTCAACTTAAAAAGCCTTGTGTATTGACAACTGTTTTAGTTGTACATCTACAGGTGTTCATAAGTTTCTATCTACCACCCCAACACTCAGAGCTAGTACCGAAAGCAGTTGGTTTAAAATTTCATGCTAATCTAATAACAAGATAAATTGACAGTGTTTCCAAAGTTTCAGTTTTTACTTTCATAGCTTTCTTAAAAAAAAATAAAACTGATACTACTGAATTTTTGTTTATTCAATATACAGATAAATAAAACAATGGAAAGTTCAAAGAGATTTTTTTTTTCTTCAAAATTAACTACAATTATCTCTTTTAACAAAATGACCATGTACATGTAAATCAGTACTAATTCAAACTTACTTTAAGTCAGAATACAATTTCTTGCTTTTAACAGATATTTTTTGCTTCCAACACCTTATTCTATTCATGAATATATCAATTTGGTAAAAACAAAAGTAAAAGTTGTTACATAACAGTACATCGACTAAATTAATGTAACTTTTTAAATCAAAGAGGTTATAACTGATAATTTTCCTTATTATACTTAATATTTATCTAGAATTACAATTTTTCTTCATATTAACAATTACTCCACACACTTTTCTCTTTGTTTTATTCTTCTTGAAATAGACTGTAATATTAGCTAGAAAGTTTATAGGACAACTACATGCAACAATGTAACTGTAATACATTCAAGTAATTAAGAGCAATAAAAAGAAGAACGTGTAGTTTAATAAAATAAGTGTGTTGTAACCAATACAAGTTTCCGGAGCAAAAAAACCAAGAAACCTTGATTATAGAAATTTTTCCCAACTTCAACACCATTTTACAAAGTTAACTTACATGTGATAAGTGCTTCTTATTTTAGAAAAAACAAACTTTTCCACATTAACTTTTTTTTCATCAGGTCATCAAGTGCATTCTTTTTGACAATTCATTTTTTATACATTTACAATCTGTTGCAAGTGCTTAATGAAATATATATTTGCGTAATAATAAGTATTGCAACCAAGAATCAGATATTCTTACCTCATCAAAAAAGATTTGAGTTTTACTAAGTATATGCTTCAACTCTGTCAACTCCAAGAATGTTTTCTTTAAGGCTTCTGCATTGGTGTTCACTTCTTTCAGCTCATTTTCTAGCTTCTCAAATTTAGCCTACACAAACAGACGTACAACATCAAGCACGCGTGATGTGTACTTACTAAACAAATCATGCATTTTATACCATCATTGTTTTTCCCATCACATTAGAATGTTGTTTTTAGCACAACAAGGATATAAACAATACCAAAAAGAAGATGTTATAACAATAAATAATATATTTAATTTCATTATAACAATAACAAACATTACAGAATGAATTAACAGTAAATTTATAATGAAACATATTATTCAATGAACACTCAGATACAAGCATTCATATTTTCACTATTCATCTAGGCAATGTTGTCCCAAACAAACAGAGTTGTTTAAAGAATAAACATGAAACTAATTTTGCAATTCATATACATGAGATTTGGGAAGTATATAGTTCAGTTTCATTACCTAATTCCAACCTCATACATTGTACAATATGTCCAACGTCCCAACCCATTACCTTTAAAAAGAAAGAAAGAGTAAATACCTCCATGTCGATCATCTCTCGTGGCTGGGGTGCCTCTACTCTTTCTTCAATGTCAAGTACTGGGATATCATCTTTTTTTATCTCTTTTTCAAAGAAACCTGCAATAAAGTCTTGTTAACCATGTCTGCATCATTTACTGGCATAGATAGAATGTATATAATTACCTTTTCTTTTCAAACACAACAAAAATAATTACCAAAGAAAGTGTATGCAAGTAAAATTTAAAAACACAAACAAAAGAATCAGCTATTTAAACACATTTTGTGTTAAAAAATATCACTTTTTCCAGGCTTAATTTTTATATGAAATGATTCAAGACATTAAGAAAACTTTCTTGACCAGGTTTGGTAACAGTACCTTCTCCTCACACCAGTTTAACAGCTGATGTTCTACCAACTGGACTAGCAGATACCAACTCCCAAGCTAGTTCTCCATCCTGAACCCCACATGTATACAAGTTCATATTAATCCTTTCAACCACTCTACAAATAGTTCTTCATCCTGAACCCCACATGTATACAAGTTCATATTAATCCTTTCAACCACTCTACAAATAATTCTCCATCCTGAACCCCACATGTGTACAAGTTCATATTAATCCTTTCAACCACTCTACAAATAGTTCTCCATCCTGAGCCCCACATGTGTACAAGTTCATATTAATCCTTTCAACCACTCTACAAATAGTTCTCCATCCTGAGCCCCACATGTGTACAAGTTCATATTAATCCTTTCAACCACTCTA